TGATTTTGTTCGCTTAGACAACAAATTTTACTCTGTGTGTTGTATATAGATTCACAATAATAAAATGTTGAATATTTGATGCGCATAGTTTGTTGTAGTTGCTGGTTATACGAGCAAACTACGGGATGTACGGAATACACATAACTCTATTAAGCTAGGTACATGTCTAAGACATCCCATCCAATTGCGTCGGATACTCCGTATATTGTAGAAAAAAATTGCGTCATCAAGAATGACGATCAGCGAGACCGAGACCGAAAGCCAACACCGAGATCTCTTAACCCCAAGACCAACGCTAAGTATAAGCCATGTCAAGCCCCAAACAACGGGGTGGCCGTTGCGTCACGCGCCTCCTACCCTTTTCAGCCTTCTCTGCAAGCCCACAATCCCACAAGCCCTAGTCTCAGCTTTCCCCTGAAACGGGACTACAGGGAGAAAAAGGGGGCGGATCAGAACCATTGGCTCAGGAATCGATATAGATTGCGCCCCATTTCGCTTGCCTCGATGCGCTCCAAAAATATTCGAATGGAGGGTCTAGTGGAGAGATGGGAAATTTCTTTTTTTTCCTATGTTGTATGGTATTTGCCGTGGGCGGGCAGGAACTGCTCCGTTCAGGTTCCACCCTGACGCTGACGGCCCCTCTTCGTCCTTTCGGGATGAAAAAAAAAAAAAACTGCTAGTATGTCTTAAGGTGACGGTAGGGATTTAAGGGTTTCTCGGGGGTTTATCCATTGACCCAAATTATAGACAATAATACGGAGTATGCAATCCCGAATGACTGGTCCTTTGTCTTTGTACCTTTGCGGGAACGATTGAGTTTGGATCGGATAGATAGGGTTGTTTGGATTTTGCAGGCTTTGGACGTAGTATGGAGTAATATTGTAGGTTATATATTATTATTATGCTTTGCTTGGAGATATTACACATAGTACGGAGTACGGAGTACTTCTCCTTCATGTTGAAGATTTACACATGCTAGGGAGCTTCAAACTTAGGAACTGGCTCGCCTCAGGATCTTTACAGTTCATGAAGCGGGGTTTTCATATGGCCCGTTCTCTATTTCCGTTTCCCGTTCTCCATCCGACGTAATCGCAAGCTTTTCCAAGGTTGTCAACAGATTTGATTTGTGATATCTGTACGGAGTAGTAGTACTTCTTTTTCGTATATCGTTTTACAACATACAGTAGGTTCAACAGTGGATATAAACAGACTTTTTGACTCGTATTAGTATATGTTGTGCAATGTAGATAATACATTCAAATTTGTGTTACTGTAGTATACAAGAGGAGTAGGATCTGCCGTTTTCAAATTTTAGTAAGCAAAGGATTGTACAAAGTACGTGGAGTGTGACAGCAGTAGGCCCAAACGGTTTCCCACAGATCGGGCACCATGCGAGTGGTCCCCGATATCTAAAGCCCGAGAGGGTGGGCCACCAATCACAGACTATGCCGCGGTGTCATGGGCTTGGAGCAAATCCAAATCCAAATTCAAATTCAAATTATTTCTTTTAACTCAGATTTAAATTTAACTCAAAGTCAAAGTCAAATTCAATTATTTTAATTTTCATAACCTAAATTCAAATTCATATACATATTTTCCCGTTGTCTATGCAAGTTGCATCACTTGCCGATTACAGATGTTGTGCTAATTGCCTGTACTGTACGGAGTACTCCGTAACTCCGGATACCTTCCTTACACCTCCATTCCCCAGAACGCGTGGATTTGTACCTATACAGAGCTCTGATGATCCACCTCGTGTGGATGAACATATCACAAAGGTCTAACCCATTACCTAAAACGGAATGGAAACGACTAGTAGTCTTAATCCCTGGACGCTACCAATAGCTACAATAATGGATGAGAATCTAGAACGATGAGGTATCTACTCCGTACTTTGTACAACAATGACTGTGGACGATAGGTTCCCCATGAAATTTAACACCTTAAACGAAAGCGAGAAAAATCGCTAATAACACCCGGATTGGGATACAATATATTGTCCCCACGTGACCTAAACGGCGAAAAGGGGGCCACAGGAACGACGTGCTTGGACCCTCTCTGGGCTGCAAAGCCATGCGGAAGGCCCGACAGTCAGGAAGCAGCTGCGAGACCGTTCGCTCCACATTTAGACTTCTTAGTGACGGGTACCCCGTTGAGCTTCAATATCAGGTTTTAAGGTCTTTTTTACTATGGTGCGAAGGAGATATTCTAGTATCATATTGTTCTTACTATATCAGCCATACGTACTATCTTCTCTTATACTTGATACACAGCTTCCCCCCTTCAATACCAGTGCTCAAACATTCGATCTAAGCTCGAGTGCACGGGGCTACGTGATCAGCGGTGATCCCTGCACGCCGACTGGGATTTATCTCAAATACTTGCCGTGTCTCTGATTGGCGAACGGACAGGGGGGAACAATAGTCTACCTTGAGTCAACGGTAAACAACAAATCAAAATCACTGAAAAATCAATAAAAAATCAAATACTGACAGGTCCAATCTCGGGTACACCCTAGTCTATGTTGCATTCCAGGACGACGGGTTCATCCTTTCAAGAAACGGTTTTTCCCAGGAGTACGGAAATCCGATCTGGTTGTCCACACGAGGACTTGTCCACATGGCTACACAAGAAGGTCATGTTTCCCTCTTTTTACGTTCTCCAGAACCATGTTTCACACCCCAGAATATACAACCTTGGAAGTACAGACTAAAAAGGGGGGGGGATCAATCAATGTTCCTTTCTCCACATACTTTTATTTCAGAATCTATAGATAGCCCTGTTGGAATGCTCCTAGTATTAATTAATGGTTTAATCTATCTTGACAGGATGTATAAAATATTTTTCTTTTCTTCCAATCTGGTGTATGGAATAGATTAAAATGATCAAATAGATTAAAGCTTAGGACGAGACGCCCATATCTGCCTATCCTTAACCGAACTGGCAGTCCCACTAACAATGACAAATACCTCGGGACCAATCAACATCCCGGTGCATCCATATGGATGCATGTAAGGTCTACCCCTGGAGAATTTAAATTACAATATGTATACTAATTTGGTACATATTGTATGGTATTTGTGTATTATGCTATCCTAATAGTGGTTGTTCTCACCCAGGGTTCAGAGTATACCATCTGGTAATAAAAAGCAAAAAAAAGGTGTGGCTTGTGTTTCAACGGTTTCCACCGGTGGAGATCTCAGCTGCGACATACCTAACCAGGTAGTCTGGAAACTTCGCACTCGTCGATCTCTGCCTCGATCCTCGATCTCTTCTGATGCATCCATCCTGTCTTTCTCTGGTACACCAGTGCTTAGACTGGAAATAGTCAGTGGACTGTGGAAAGGGACGGGAAAATAGATTGACCTATTCTTGTGCCGTTTCGGTATAGCGGGAATGATTAAAGATATCCAGAGTATCCAGATTGGAATGGATAACGTCACATCCCGTTGTGCCTTTGCAGTTGTATAGTGTAATTTCGTCCTTGGCATTAGTGTTAACAAACCCCATTTTGGTGTTATTTCACGTCTCCCCCTAGGCGTTATGGAGGATCCCCGGTCAACTGTCAGTGACAGCTGGCAGGTGGCCCATGCGTCTCTCTTTTTTTTTTCTTTTTTAATTATGATGGTTATTTTCCCATAAATGGATTTTATAATATAAATTAGTTAACATTTAGACCTGATTAAGCGAGCCTCGATCCTGATGTCAAAAATCAGGAATGCAAACCCGTCACGTTCGTGATGGGGTTTAAGCCATATGGAAGACAGGCTGCAAGGTATAAAAAATATACAATCCAATAGTATCAACATCAAGATATGGAATATAGAAAAGCATCTAAAGTATCCAAAATTGATTAAAATTAACTCCGATCTAGGTCTTCAGGGATAGCTCGGGGTTGTTCGGGGAGGCTGAAGCTGTCATCGCACGGAGGCACCGATTTCCCCATACTATTGAATCCAAAAAAGGGATAAATGAATTTCCAAGGTTCTCTCTTCACGGACGGCAGCCGAACAGAGGAATTTGTCAATTCAAACTCGGTCCACCGGTCCACCGGTCCACCGTGGATCATCAAGAAGGAACCCTGGTCGAGCCAATGAGATATTGGACTTGACTGATGGAACATGGATCGCGTATAAATCGAGGAAAAGTGTTGTGCATGGCTGGCTGAGTGGAATCTGGGACGTCTAACCGCTTGTCACTTCCAAAACTAGATCTGCCCCTGGCTGTTTTTGGGTTGACCCCTTTCTGTTACTCCGTACGGAGTAGTTGTTTGACTTATATTATTTCACCGTAGCTATAGTGTTATTGTATATGAATAATAGCTATAATTAATTTTTAGGTTATGAAAGGAAGGTGTTTTGAAACGGATTACACCTAACTCCGTAGATCTAGAACTAAACGTTGCTTTTTTCTTTATTACCATGGCTATGGGAATCAAACAAAGAGCATAGATACAATAAAACAAAATAAAAGAATCCTAAAAAATAAAACAAAATTCCAAAAGAACAAGTTAGCGCCATGGATGATTTGGAATTCCAGCAACGGGGCTCAGGGTCGATCACTCCGATCTTTTTTCTGTTTTTACGCGTCTTTCCTCAGCCCGAATTCCCGGGTGGTACTGAAGATCCCAACGGAGCATTTTTCCACTCCCCACGATCTATAGATTACAATAGTCTGTATTAAGTATTTTTATTTTTATTTTTATTTTATTTTATTTTAAATTCTATTTAATTATATTACCCATTAACCTGTATTATTCCGAACTGTCAGCTCCGAGATCTTGGATCGTGATCTTCCATAGCGGGACCTGTGTTTTTTTCTTTTGGACCCGTCCCCCTGGTACTTAAGACTTGACACTGTCCGATACTATATTAACCTCTTCCGCTACTTCTCATTGTACTCTTTTTATACTTCAACCATCTCTCTCTCCATCCACACTCTATATCCTCTACATCATCTACATCCTCTCACCACTATCTACTCTACTATCTACTCTCATAATGCCTGCTTCACACCGTCGTGGTCCTTGGGTCCCAGAGGAAGATCAACTCCTCACCCAACTGGTCCGCGAACAAGGCCCAAACAACTGGGTTCGCATCTCTCAACACATGCACTACCGCTCACCCAAGCAATGTCGGGAGCGTTTCCACCAAAATCTCAAGCCCTCGCTAAACAGAGAGCCCATCTCCGCCGACGAAGGCCTGATGATCGAGCGCATGGTCAACGAAATGGGAAAGCGCTGGGCTGAGATCGCCCGCCGCCTCGGAAACCGCAGCGACAACGCAGTCAAGAACTGGTGGAATGGTAGCATGAACCGCAAAAAGCGCGGCCTGTCCACCCCCACCACTTCCCGCACTTACTCAGGTCGCATTGAGGCTCCGTACACCCGCGCCTCAGCGATGAGCCCAACTCGCTCCCGCTTCTCCAGCTCTTCTGCTTCTTCTTCTCGCCCCTCATGGACGGAGTCCATTGAGTCCGCCATTTCTGAACAATACTCCCACTCCCGCAGAGAATCACTGGCCTCTTCCGCCCGCCAGCTCTCCCCCATCTACACCCTCCCCTCCATCAACCGACCAATCGAAACTCCGCTCACCTCGCCCGCTTTCTCAGAGGCTTCACACGGTACTTCCTGCGAGCCGCCTTCTATGGTCTCAGACCACAATTCCGTCTGCTCTTCTTCACCCCGCACTTTCCCCTCTCCGCAACTTCTGCCCTTGCCTGTCGACCTGCGTTCGCAGTACGAGATCCGGAGGCCCAGTGTCCACGTTCTTGAGGACTCGCCTAGTTACCCGGCTCGCTCGCTAGAGTCTCTGTCAGAGATTGCCTCCGCACAGCGCTGGATGGGCCACCAGCCCACTCTGGCTTCATGGCACCAACCTACGGACTTGCCTAAGTCTTGGATCTCCAAATCTGAACCTGCTCGTGACACTCGCATGGGAGTGAATAACTTGCTCAACTGAAAAAAAAAGAAATGAAAAAAAACATCCAAAAATCATTCAAAAAAACCTACGCATCCATCATGATTTTTACGAGTCTCATTTCTCAACTCTGTTTTCTCCCTTGTTTTATACTCCTGATTCCCCTTCGCGCTTGGGTCCATTGATGGAACCCTTTTTGTACATTTTGCGAAAAGCTCGATTTTCTTTGTCTATGTTCTCTGATAGGGAGTTGTTACGATTTTCTTTTGTATATTCCTAATGTGTATTACCATGGTTCGGATTTTGAAACTCTGTTCTTTTGGGCTTTTGAGGCTCGGTTCTACGTTGAATGATTATTCTTTTATTTTTTATTTTTTTCTCACTCTTTGTTTTGATTCGGCACGCAGTTTGGAGCGATTGGTCTCTCCATTTCTGCTTGGATGGCATAATACCCTGTTTATAACAATGATCTAATTTGAATAATAATAATAACAATAATAATAATTTCAACGAGAATCTTTATTACATACAAGCACTTTACTTCTTACCAAAATATGCATTCTTAGCCTCCTACGTTATATACATACAACACAAGTCATACATACACCAATGCAAGACGCAAAAAAAGACTTTTGTACTCCCACACGTCCCCCGTTCCAGCCAGCCTCTTATCGAATATTGCAGGCATTGACAGGGAATGTCGATATGCAGCCTCCAACCGTTGTGTTCTCCCCTTTGCACGGGTCCCCATGAGGAATGCGCCACCGGACACACGCTGTACTCACGAGGACGGACGCAAGGGATGCGAGAGCATGAGGTCTGATTCTGGTCAGGGCGGCCTAAGCACGGAAGTAAGGACCCACCCGGTTGTCTGACAAGGCAAGGTTTGCTGGTTGGAGATACAGAGATGGAGGTAGATGTAGATTGGAACATTGTATATGCTGTAGTACCCAGGTGGTACTGTTACAGATGACTACATAAGGACATAGTATTTAGTTGTTCAAGGGAAAGCAAGACAATACTCACGCTGATGTTGGTAATGGTGCAAGTTATGCTAACTTATGCTCATGTATTGCCATTGCCTGCATCCAGACCCAGGATCATGACCAGAAGACGTAATCTAGTGCATTGTACATAATGCATAACCCATGAACACCCTGCACAGTGACAGGCAAGAACCAGACCAGACCTAGATCCTGACCCTAGACATCAGAGACATGACACACACACACACACCTCCCACAGGAAGCAGAAAATCAAAAACAACGAGAAAAAAAAATTTAGAAGTCTATTCGAGAGGTTCGTCCGCATCTGCAGGAGAAAATGGAAAATCAAACGGTCTGGCACCGCAACCCCCCCATCCCGATCTAGAATATGATTAACACAGGGTCCCATGTCCATTCATAGCCAAAGAATGGAAGGAGAATATGTGCGGGCAGTTTCCAAGACAGTCTAATACAACATACTAAATACTAAATACTATACTAACTAAAGAGGAGCGAGAGCGAGAGAGAGAGAAGGATAAGCGGGGCAGGGGGGGAAAGAAGTGAACCATATCCAGTGGTAGTATGGAATCTAGGATTGTTTTTACGCCACACGACCAGTCCAGGGTCGATTCTATACCATCAGGCCTTGATTTTCCCGCCTACCCGCCCCGATTTGGGCTCTTTATTGAAAATCACTATGCTACTGGCTACTGGCTACCGTCGTAGCGAGTTAATGCGGGTTATGTTGGTTTTTCGCTCGGATCGCCCAGGACGGGATGAGCGTTGGGATGAGTCCGTGACCAATCAATGGTGTGGTCGCGATGCATAAGGACGGATTGGTCACCTTCTGACGGGATGAACGGCGGGGCTCGATGGTGGGGATTTGGTTGGTGTTGCATGGATCGTGGAGGTGTTCGTGCATGCATGCATGTCGTTTTTTTCATTTTTTTTTTTTCATCTCTCTCTCTCTCTCTCTCTTTTGTCGGGTTGTGCTTTCCGTTTCCCCCGTGAGGCTTTTTAGTGTAGCTTGGGCTTTGGCCGTTGAGATTTGGGTATTTTTTTTTCTTGTTTGGGGGTTAAGTTTGGGGGTTTGGGG